AATCCTACATTAGATAGTATTAATGTGATTTAATGAACGTACCATTGCTGTTTTTTGGGCGTGATAACGGTCCTCAGCTGTCCTACGGCGAAACATGTCCATAGCGTGTGCTTTTCGTCGTCCAATCCTTTTGTTAAGGCTTCTTAACCGCCTCCGACTCAGCATTTCTATTGCATTTGAATGGTCGATCTGTATTTGTATTTGTGGCTGAGTTATTGGCTTAAATAACTCAGTGACAAAGCTGTATAACACGAGCACCAAAACGTCAACTCCATACCGTGTCTGAGGTCGGAAGGTAAGCATACAGCGGAAGCGGAAGTTTTTTTTTTCTTCTTCTCTCGGTTTTTTGGCGAATTGCAACTTTAAGGTGCATACCGCCACCTACTGTACTCGCCGTGAAGTTGTTTGCGGCCTGCCAGTAAACCCAAAGCAGAAGAAGAAGAAGTGACGTCAGCGGCTCATTTGACTAATCCACCCCCAGGAACTCATTTTGGTGTGAACGCGATCTGCTTTAGTTCATCAGAACTAAAAGAGCTCTCATGAACTAAAGTTCTCATGAACTACTGTGGGAAAAGTACTTGGTGTGAACGCCCCTTATGTCAAGGAAGGATCCTTCAGAGCCACTATTTCAAGGATGCTACGTCATCAAATCCCGCCGAAGGACTGTTCCAATGTCCAGGATCCTTGGAATTCTACCGAGGACTGAGGGTGTTTCCTTGGTAGGACATGTCTTCCGATTCAGGTCCTTCAGAAGCGAGGCAAGAATCCTTCCTAGCCTCGGAAAACGAAGAATAATGGAACAGGCTAACAGGTGTGCAGGTGTGCGTCATATGCGAGACCCCGCCTTAAATGGAGCGCGATTTCCGCCAAAGATTTTGGAAATTGGTCCGTGCGCAAAGCATTGTGGGGATTTTAAGACCGCGGAGGATACACATGTGCAGCCTCGAAATTTCCCGCAACGAAGGACGTCGGCCTCGGTAGAATTCCAAGGATCCTGGACAGTCCTTCGGCGGGACTCGATGACGTAGCCTCCTTGAAATAGTGGCTCTGGAGGAGCCTTCCTCGACATTGAGAAACACCCTGAGTCCTTCGTTGCGGGACATTTCGAGGATGCACATGTGTATCCTCTGTGGTGAATTTCAGTTTTATTGGATAGTAGAGATCTACTGGAAACAATGGAGAGGGAGGAGATGATATGCAGCAAAAGGCCCAGCCGGATGGTTGCTGCTCCGTGTGGAACGTGTTCTATCAGGTAAAGCACTTTGGTACCCAGTTATTTATGGTATTGAGTTTGAATTTAGCCTTTGGAATGTAATTTCCAACAGTGCATTGTAAAGACTGAAAAAACAGGCTCGGGGCTCAACAGGTTAAAGCTTGACATGATTTGGTCTTTTACTTAAGAGGATGTTTGTCCTCCTGTGTTGTCTTATTTCCTTATCTTTCTTTCAGGTGTAACATCTACCAATGGTTGTACATGACATAGACCTCCTCCACCTCTTTGCTGTCCTACTAGTCAACCCTTCTGATCAGAGCCTTTCCTAAATAGTGGTAAGTTGTTTTACAGTTCAGTGTACGTTAATTTAGCAACTTAATGCTTTACTGCTGTTCAATAAACCCTATATTGCTAGTGATTTTATTTAAACTATGATTTGCAATCTTTTTGATTCCAATTACAATAATCTTTTTGTTATAATTGTAAAACACATCTTAACATCCATTAGCAATCAATAAAACAAATCATCCAACACAAAATAGAAGAAATCTGGACCTATTCTATTTCTTTTTATACAACAGCATCTATTGGGACTGCTCATTGATGTCATCAAGAGCCATTGAGTCTACCTTTTGTAGTCGGCCTCTTAGAATGTTTATAATTTCTTTGTCTCTTAACATTCCTATAATAATTGTTTTTTTTATTGTTGATATTGTTTTGTTCTTTATTTTTGTTGTGAGAATCACTTTGCAAAAGTGCTATATAAATAGTTATACTAATATTATTGTTGTTACCATCATTACTATTATTAAAAATGTTTTCTTTGTTTTCTTTATTTATCGCTGCAGAAAGGATCATGCCAGCCCACATCAAACACCTGATCGAGAACTTGTGAATCTTCAGGCAGAAAAGATGAAAACACCTGTTCAAAGTTCCAGTTTCCTGTACATGGAACCATGCCTGACTGGGACTCTGTTCCACATGTCTTCAGTCAGTTCTGGACCCTATGACTCGGACACTAGTTCTACCAAGGCTCATTAGAGGTAAGCAGTGGTAGGAGAGGAGTGGAGTTATCTTTGTATTTAGGCTGCAAGTCGACAAAGGTGATCAAATGCTGATGCTAATAATGATCCGATTAATTTGATATTGATTGCCTGCCAATACCGAATCCTGATCCGATTCTTCTATTTCCCAGATAATACAGCTGCACCGTGTACACTACGGTAGCTCTATTGGTTTTTGCCATTGTAATTCACCATAAGCTATTGTTAGCCCAAATGTTAACGTAAATGTCAAGTTTTCTTTTTACAGTGTACTTATATCTGTACATTTATGTTCAGTTTGCTTCAAGAAGTGGCTTCAAAAGACAGAAATGCAGGCCAGATTGGGAAAGGCTGGACGCTACACAACGGGAAACATTATGGACATGAACAAGGAAAAACAAAAAACACTTTCTTTGTTGCCTTTTTCTTATCATACAGTGTTACTGTTTTTGTTACCATTTAAATATTTAATTATATTTATTACTTTTATTTTAAATCAAATGCACCTGTTTTAGATAATATATTTATTTTTGATGTATAGGTTGATTTGCAGGTTGGTTGTTATTTGTATTATTGTATTGTTACTGTGCATTTTACTATATTAATGAGCTATTTATTAAATTAAAATACTGTTATGAACACTTTAAAATGTCTTTATTTTGGTAGATACCAGAATACATGACACAATCAATCTTTGTAATATATTTATGTTCTCTGGTTTAAATAATCATACCAGTATTTAAACAATGTAGCAGCGACGTGCAGTCAGTGGAGGCAGAGCCTCACCTGTCATACTCCAATGTAACGGAAAAACAACTAAAGAAAAACGAAATAGTAATAATAATAAAATGTCTCCACTGATCTGTGTTGTAAGTGTGATTTATGTATGATTCTAATCGCTTTTTATAGTCAAAATCAGCAAATTTGCCGAGCTCCGCTACGGGAGCGATGACAAGTGAGGCAGGGGCGTGCTCTGCCTCTCGTAAGCCCACAGTAACTTGCTGGAGCGCGGGCACTAATGTAGCGCGGGCACTTATTTTGTGAGCGCGCTCAAGCCATTTACTGTGGGCTGAGGTGAGGCACAGATGAGATCTGCTTCACCTCAGAATGCGTCACCCCACAGAAACTGGCTGGAAAGCGGGCCCTAAGCGCATGCCTGTTACCATCTCACTGTAGGTCACCAATGTAATGTATGTAGATCCCTTTATTACATTTATCCTCGCCATCCATAGTCTCTAAATAACTTATTTCACCTATATGATATTTAGGCTCGCTGGTCTCAACGGCAATGAAAATGCACCAGGGGAGGCAGCCATAACCTCTGCCGCACTGAAGGGGGCGCACGTGAGCCCACAGGTTCTTGTTGCTACTGTAATTCTACGCAGAGACGGTAGACGTAACAACAAACTAGACTTTTAAAACTACAGGAAGATAAGGAGGACTTTTATAAAAAAGTAATAGAGATTGTTGTCCAGAAGGATAGCATCGACTTCATCTTCAAGTCAAGGTAAGACCACATTTGTAATGAAAATGGGATCTTACTAAGAAAGAACAATCCAATATTTAGATTTTGGGTATCCTTTTGTTGAACGGTCTGTTTAAAATGAATCGAAGCATCAGACTAAAAAAGCTTTTGAAAATAACCGAATATTTCGATTAAGGTCAAAATATAATATTTGTAAATCTGACTCAGTGAGTCAGTGCCTCACCAGCCATGAACCTCACCGCACGTCACTGCAATGTAGGCTATGCTGGTCACCTGGAATCCTGGTAAGCTTCCAGCATGGTATATTTAATACTATTATTACACATAAACTGGTGATAGATGGATGCTGGTGACCAGCCCAGCATACCAGCATACTATGCTGGTCTATGCTATTTTTTTTAGCTGGCCAGGATGGCCGGTTTAGCTGGTTTAGCTGGTGGCCGGTTTAGCTGGTTTAGCTGGTGGCCCGGTTTAGCTGGTGGCCGGTTTAGCTGGTCAGGCTGGTCAACTCAGCAGTTTTTTTCCGCAGGGAAGATACTACGCAAACTTACTTGAATTTCATACTGATGAAACGCAGCTATTGGCAAAATTCCCACGTCATAACCATAGACTGTATAAAGGTCATAACCAAGGGTCATTTGCCAAAAAAACAGATAACCTAACTTCCTGTAGATTTTCAAACTAAAACACATTGATTATTCGACCAGTCTATCAACTAATCACATATATATTTGCAAATCGAACACACCTAATTTGGAATATTGTGTTGAGTTAAACATTGCTGTTAATTGGTCACAGACAGCACTTTGGTTTACATAAACTGATAGATTATCCTATAGGGAGAGTGGGGTAAATTGAGCCATTTTTTTGTTAGCTGTTCTCTAAGCAAGGAGAAATTACACATAGTTAAATGAAAGCACACACCTATAATTCAGGATGTCTCCAATCAATGGCAATGATAATAATTAATATTTTATCAAGGGCAGTGAAAATATTACTTCGAAAAAAAAAAGTGATCTTGTGGCTCAATTTACCCCAGTTTAGGGGTAAGTTGATCCAGGTCAGGGGGTAAATTGAACCACTGTTGGGTAAATTGACCAATTCACTTTTTACAGTTTAAACCTCGGCATACCTACACAAGATATGTGTAGGCATACCTAGATGGTCAGATTTCCAACTTATTTTGAAGGTGAGGGGAAATCGCGAGATCGAGAGACCGGAAATAGGTGTTAAACCTGCCTGTTGTTCCTGCTGCTATTCTGCCTGGATCCTAAAAACACACCCCTAGGATCACCTGCGCAGGTATTAACTAGTTTCTTTTAAAGCCTGTCCAAACTTGTTGGAGTAAAAATAACAATCCGTGAACCTTTGGACTAACTCTGTTGAGAAAACAAATATCTGCAAGAGCTGCGAACAAGTGAAAGTAAATGCTTAAAAAGGAGATTTTTCTGCTCTTCTGAAATGGCTCGTCGGTATTTCCTGACTTATCTCACCCTCACCTCATGCCTAGGTGAGTTTGTCTCTTAAATGCTTTTGTTATTTTCTTCCGGTTTTTAAATGTTTGTTTCGTCTTAAAAACTCGTGTGCACTCCTACTATTTCCCTCACAGGCCAGGCATGGACAGGTTAATGATTTATCTAAAGTTGAGTACAATAGTTCATAATATCTCAGGTAGTAATAAAGTGTCTGTGATACACACAAGTAGGCTACTGACCTTTAACTCTTTAGGTTAAAAACTCAAATTAATGTTGAATTTATACCGAAAGTTATTATAGGAATACAGCATACAGCATTGAGAATGATCATAGTACTACACCTGTCAGGCACACAATGTTATTAAAGTTATTACAGTTTTGCACAGATATTAGTTATTGTTATCATATCTTTCAATGTTACAACTAAACGTTTCCACATTATGCTGCCTATATCTACACATTCATGTATTTTCTCTGTGTCTAGTTGCAGGACAGTCTCCAGAATATGCACTGCAGGGGGGTGAGGTGTCCTTAAAGACAGACGTCACTGGACAACCTGATGGAATTCTGTGGAAACATAAAGGCAACAAAGTGGTAGAGTTTAATGGCCGAGAGGAACAGGTCTACAAACCATTTGAAAACAGGGTCACTGTTGACTGGTTCTCTGCAGGTATCCAAATTACTGACCTCAGGTTTGAAGACAGCGGAGAGTATGAGTTGGAACTAGAACTTAACAAAAAGTTGCAGCGTTTCTTTTATCAATTGGAAGTCATTGGTACGTTTTTTTACTTACTTTGGTTGTATGCCGTTTATCACATGAATATGTTACCGTGATTTTATAGCAGGTAGTTGATGTGTTCCTATAGCAACCCCAATGCCTTTAAATAACCTTAAAATAAAACCCAATGCACAAAGAAATTATGCCACTGCCAAAGTTAATATTTTTTAGCAAATAGTTTTGCATTACAATGTAAATTTGACACTGATCAACATAACATTCTTAAATGTTAAATTACGAGTGAAGTTAGTAGTGAATACATGTTTATTATTAATACAACTTAGAACACCTTGTGATTGACAACTTGTAGCTGATGATCGAGCTTGTGAGTCACTAGTATAAAACAATAAATGAAATAAGCATTGTTAGTATTTACAGTTTTAAAAAAAATCAATTGTGAACTTTAAACAGAGTAGCAGTATCAAAGACATGTAGGACCACATGTGGTTGCTTTCTTGAGAGCGTTAAAGCCCCACAGAGGACTTATCGAGTCACTGAGACAGGACTTCTCTCCCACACCCAACAGTGTCTGTTAGTTATGTTATTAATAGGTCACCTATAAAAAAGGATTTTATACTTTGTACATTTGATTTGATTGTATCAGCCTTGGTATCAGTTAAGATTCTGTAATGACTCAAATCAACTACAGGTAGTTCACAGTTTCATTCAGTGTCAAAGTAGGAATTACTGGGATTTGTTATATTGCAGTATAACGTCAGGGTGTTGGCCTTAATGTCAGGATTTATACCAGTATTCAGATTTAGCCATATTTAACTGTGAGAACAGTCTTTCCCTAACTTCAAACTAATTAGTTATAATAACCTTAACTCACTAATTATTTTTAAACAGAACAGCAAGTTCCCTTATGTGACAGTGAAGATTAGTTATACTTGAAATGAAATACAATATATTTTTTCAGCACTTTATGTGCTTTATATCCTTTACAATGTTTAATATGTTGTTATTAGATAGAGATAAGGTAACATGATGGAATCATTCATTTAGGTATGATTAATTGATGTTGTCATTGATGCATTCATTAAGACAAGATCGCCAAGCCCACCATATCCTGTGAGATCAACGATGACAGCATCGGTAACATCTCTGGAAAGCTGCTGTGCTCTGCAAAGCCCGGAAGACTTCAATCCTTAAAGAAGTTGGAGTGGAGATCTCATGGAAGCGTGCAGCCTGGCCCAGAGTTTAACATTCCTCTGGGGGGTGAACATAATGAGGAAGAGTACAGTTGTACAGTCAGCAACCCTCGGAGTAGTGAAACAGCTACATTCACTGCAAAGGATTGCTACCCAGGTAGGTCAAGGGTTCAAGGTTCAAGGTTCTTTATTGTCAATCTGACATAGCTACAGAGTAATTATGCAGTTGAAAATCTTATGTCACAGGCTTCTCCAACAATGCAACATAATAACATAACATAATAACAATAAGAGCAAGAGCAATACAAAAATAATAATAGTTATAAAAATGAAATAAAGTTATGATGTGGAATAGTGCAGTATGAGTCTATATACAAGTTATTGGAATGATATATATATATTAGGTATTAGATACATACTACTGAGTAGCAGTTGAATGTTTGAAGTTGTTTCAACAGTTCAATTTTTTAACAGTCTCACTGCCCGCGGGAAGAAACTGTCTCCGAATCTTCTTGTCCTTGCCCGGATGCTGCGGTAACGTCTGCCAGACGGCAACAGAAAGAACAGTTTGTGGCTGGGGTGATGGGGGTCTTTGATAATCCGTAGTGATTTCTTCCTGAGCCGCTGGGAGTAAAGGTCCTCCATGGATGGCAGCTCCGTCCTGGTGATGTGCTGTGCAGTTTTCACCACCCTCTGTAAAGCCTTACGATCGAGGTCGGTGCAGCTGCCGTACCAGGCCGTCATGCTGCCAGTGAGGATACTCTCTATCGTGCACCTGTAGAAGTTGCAGAGTATCCTGGAATCCATTTTGAACCTCCTCAGCCTGCGGAGGAAGAAGAGCCGCTGTCGAGCTTTCTTGGTGATGGTGGTGGTGTGAAGAGACCATGTCAGGTCCTCAGTGATGTGGACCACAAGGAACCTGAAGCTTTTGACTCTCTCCACCGTAGTCCCATTGATGGCCATGGGGGCGTGTCCCTCTCCCTGCTGCTTCCTGTAATCCACAATCAGCTCCTTTGTTTTGCTGATGTTGAGATGGAGGTTGTTATCCTGGCACCAAGATGTCAGGTTTTCGACCTCCTCTCTGTACGCCGTCTCGTCATCGTCTGTGATCTGGCCGATGACGGTCGTGTCATCAGCAAACTTCACGATGGTGTTGGAGCTGTGTGTGGCCACGCAGTCGTGGGTGAACAGGGAGTAGAGGAGAGGGCTGAGCACGCAGCCTTGAGGGGCACCGGTGTTAAGAATCAGGGTGGAGGATGTGATGTTTCCCACCCGCACTGCCTGGGGTCTGCCCGTCAGGAAGTTCAGGATCCAGTCGCAGAGGGCGCTGTTGAGCCCGAGGTCTCTGAGCTTGATGGCCAGCTTGGAGGGCACAATGGTGTTGAATGCTGAACTGTAGTCAATGAACAGCATTCTCACATATGTGTTCCTGTTCTTCGGGTCCAGGTGTGAGAGGGCAGTGTGGAGGGTGAGGGCTATGGCGTCGTCTGTGGACCTGTTTGCTCTGTAGGCAAACTGCAGGGGGTCCAGAGATTCAGGGAGGGAGGAGGTGATGAATAATTTGACTAACCGCTCAAAGCACTTCATTATGATGGAGGTGAGTGCTACTGGGCGGTAGTCGTTGGGGCAGGTGATGATTGTCTTTTTGGGGACAGGAATGATGGTGGAGTGTTTAAGACATGTGGGGACTACAGACTGCAGCAGGGACCTGTTGAAGATGTCTGTGAACACCTCTGCCAGCTGAACTGCACACACCCTGAGAACACGGCCAGGGATGCCATCAGGTCCAGGAGCCTTGTGTGGGTTAACCCTTTTAAAGGATTTACACACATCTGCCCTATTTAAAACAAAAGGGCAGTGTAGCTCCTGGTCCCTCTGGTCACTATGTTAACATGAACATTATTATTATTATTGACCCGCTGTAAGCTATTAGGTAACACCTGCATGTATCTGCTCTGTGTGTTTCCATCACAGAATGAATACATTAATATTACTGATGGTAATAATGGGTAAACAAATGTATTTCAAATTAGCTTCTTTATCTTTTAGTTTTAATATCAAGAGGGATGACAGGGTTCATGTCCAAAATGTAAACTACAATGTTTATTTTGTATAATTGTTGCTTCAGTAATGAATGTAATGTCACAAGATGTCGTTGTAACATTTACTCTTGTGTTTCTGTGCAGTAAAAAGCTCATCTGTAGGACTGACTGCCGGCCTTGTCAGCTTCTTTTGTATTCTCCTCCTTGGGGGTCTTCTGGGCATAGTTTTGTACTGCAAACTACGCCATAAAGGTACAGTAATAGTATTACACCTTAAACGGAATTCTTTCAAGAAATGATTTGCTTCAACAGTAATATTAGCAAACAAACATGTGAACACTAATGCTCACATATTCAGAGCTATGTGTAACAGTTGACCTAATGTCATTTTAGTTCTATATGGAGCAAGGCTCTCTGTCATTTGGAGATCGAAAGTCCTTCCAGAACAGAACATTATGCATAACAAGCTATTTAATTGCAGTATAATTGTACACAAGCAGTCTAACTTTCAAACATATGAAACTAAACACAATTGGTCTTTGTTCTTTTTTGTCCTCTCACTCATGGTTCCAGCATGTTTTGCAAAAGATGATCCTGAAAAACAGTCACGAGTTGTTCCAAAAAAAGGTATGATATTATTATTATTATATATTTTATGATATTTAAACCAAAAAATGCTGTGGAGTTTATGCCTCGTAAATAACTAAGAGGATTTTTTTGATAATTAAAATAGTTTTTTTCTTAATTGTCCTTGAATAGAATAATCATTTTAATTGAATACTAATGTCTGCACAACTGAGATGGGAGAACAAGCAGTAAAGACAACAAATTATCAAAGAATACAAAGTTTAGGTGCTAAAATAGTTGCGCTTTTTCAATAAAGAAAGCTCAAGGAAAAGCAAAGACAACAAAGGTAATTTTAATAAACATAATAGGAACCTGACCCATTATGGTCTTAATTTCTTTCTCCTTTAAAACCCTTAAAGAGAGTAGTAGTTTAATGTAGCTGTTGTTAAGCCTGCATTGTACAGTACACAGGGAGTGTTGCAGATAAGAGCTTTCATTGATTGTTCTTTTCTTAAAGGTATCATTGTTTTAGATATTTTTTTTATATTCAATATCATTATTTCGTACCAGTGAGTAACATTATGTTTTGTATTTCAAGCTGTTTCAGGGGAAGATGAGAAGAAAGCAGAGCGTTCTGAAAGAAAGTGTGTTCTTCCTAACAGAGAATCCACACTACGCTCTAACCAGCCTCTTCGCAATTTGAATCAAGGTAATATAAATATGAAGCTTAATGAACCTGCTAGAAATCACTAGTTTCAGGTTTTTATCAATCGAAGCAATTAAGGACTAAACCAGGAAGTCTTTATTTGATTCCTTTCTTTTTTTTGTTCACGTATTATTGTTTTAGATCTTTTTTTTATATTCAATATCATTATTTCGTAACAGTGAGTCACATTTGTGTTTTTGTATTTCAAGCTGTTTCAGGGGAAGATGAGAAGAAAGCAGAACGTTCTGAAAAAGAGCGTCTTCTTCATCACAGTGACTCCACACTACCCTCTAACCAGCCTCTTCGCAATTTGAATCAAGGTAATAGAAACATGAAGCTACCTGCTAGAAATCACAAAAAGGACAAAGATTCTGAACTAGTTTCAAGTTTTGATCAATTAAAGCAATTAAGGACTAAACCAGGATTGCAGTCTTTACAATCGCTGGTTCACGTCCCGATCGGACCAAAAATACAGAGTGTGGACTGGTACTGGAGAGGAGCCAGTTCACCTCCTGGGCCACTGCCGAAGTGCCCTTGAGCAAGGCACCTAACCCCCAACTGCTCACTGGCGCCGGCTAGACTGGCTGCCTCCACTCTGACCTCAACTGCATGTGCATGTGTGCATATAACTGTGTGTATGATGTAAAAAGTGTGTACTGTATTACCTGTATAAAAACGCATGTGTGTGTACGACTGAGTGGAAACTGAATTTCCCACTCTGGGGATTAATATAAAGGTCCATCTTCTTCTTCTTCTTTATTTGATCCCTTTCTTTTTTTGGTTCACAGATCATAATATGGATAATCAAGAAGATGATATGCAACAAAAAGGTTCCACTAACAATATTTTATTAATTATATCTTAGACATAGTCAAAATAATATGTTAATGTCTGTGCTGTTCACTGTTTACAGGGAACATCAAAGAGCTCATAAAATACCATGAACAAAACAAATCTGGACAGACCTACGGATCACAGAGGGGTATTAAGTTGACCTTATTGTTAGCTGACAGCGGCAACTATTGCTTATGTTCAGTTGTACCTAATCAATTTTTATAATCAATGAATCATTTATTTATAATATATCACACTTTTTTTTTTAAATAGTTGACGATTTTGAAGATTTCTTTATTTGACCAACAGTTCAAAAGCCAAGGGATTTCTTTCCAAAAACCAAAAAAAAAGGTTTTTTGCATGATTCATTTTCTGTTGATCAATGTATTGTTTCCAACTTCCTAACTTTGGCTTTTGTTTGTTTTACGATTTTCTAAGATTGCTTTCTTGGTTTTAGTCTCTGAAAGCATATTTTTTCTTTAATTCCTTTTTTCTGTGTTTCTTGTTTAGGAAGTAAGAAAACTGCGTCTCCTCGTTCTCCTCCTCATCTTGGAGATGAAGATGCAGACAGAGAGCATCTAGAAGAAAAAATCCAAGCCACAAACTCTGAGGAGGCAGAACCAAACCCCGCTGGTGTGTCGGACGTCCCGAGTGAGGAGACGCAGTCTGACCCGGAACCCTCCGTTCCTGAACAGACAGGTTTGGATACTACAACATTTGAGCTTGATTCAGATAATCACAGAGGAAAACAAACACTTGGAGTTAGACTGATTTAATTATTGTAGAAATTCCAACAGTCAGGTGCACTTATTACACTTTTTAGATTTTTCTTTCTGTTTTTCTTTTGCTTTATCAGAATCAGAATCAGAATCGGGTTTATTACCGGGTAGGGTGACGCTTACGAAGAATTTGACTTGATGTCATGGTGCATACATAAAAGTAAAACAAAAATCAAAAACACAGATAGAGAACTAGAAAAATATTAAAGATAATAACAAATATAGTAAAATATAACAGTATTTACATAGACATGGAATAGAATAAAATATGGTATAAAAATCGGCAGTAATACAAAAAAAAAAGGTATTGTTGTTAGGGCTGTCAAGTTAACGCGTTAATAACGCAGTAACGCAATTTTTTTTTTAACGCCACTAATTATTTTAACGTGCGATTAATGCATGTGTATTTGTCCTCGGCCCGCTCCGTAGTTTCAGAGCCCAAAGGCTTGACGTTGTTGTTGTTGTTGTTAGTTGGATGGTGGCAGATTCTAGCGAGAGATATGGATACAAACAAATAGTTTTAAACAGCAAGCCAAGCACACAGCTGATACTGACAGTCCCGCTCCTGCCGCTCGCTTGCGGCAGACCACGCTTGAAAGTGTGCCGGGGAGACGCCTGGACACGGCGTCTACGAGCAGCAATCTTTCAACAGCGATAGCTAAATGGGTGGCGGTGGCTACAGCTTGCAGGACAATTAACATCCTGGAGGACGAGGGACTGTGTGAGATAATTCGGATCGCATCCAACGTGTCGACTGCACATCACAGCGCATTATTTTGACCCACAGTGGGAACTTCAGTCTCATGCTTTGACTGTTATGAAGACAGAGGAGCGGCATTTTGCCGACAACTGTAAACAGGTTTGTCTGTTTGAGCAACTGGCTCAGTGCAAAGAAGTACACAGGGTTGGGAGAGAGTGTAAGAGAGAGAGAGAGGTTCCAGGTTGTTGTGTTGAGAATATTCAGGAGAATATTTGTCATTGTTCAAATGATAATAAACAAACATTTGCATAAAGCATATTTGTCCACTCATATGTTGATAAGAGTATTAAAAACAGACCAGAACAGAGAGAATCTAGAGAGAGAAATCCCACAGGGTAAACTCACAGACTCTGAGAAGGCAGGACCAGACCCAGCTGATCTGTCGGATGTCCTGAGTGAGGAATCCTCCGTTCCTGAACAGACAGGTTTGGAAACTATAAAACAAAGGTGGAGCTTGACTCAGTTTGTCAGAGTGAAAAACAAACACTAGGATTCGGAATAATGGAAACAAAATACATTTCAGCAAAGTGAAAAGCATTTATAAAATACATAATTACGAACAACTAATGGACAGGTACAACTAAACTTTTCTCAGAGGTGGGAGAAGTACTCACATCTTGTACTTGAGTAAAAGTAGAAGTACCAGAGTGTAGGAATACTCTGTTACAAGAAAAAGTCCTGCCTTCAAAACGTTACTCGAGTAAAAGTACAAAAGTATTGGCATCAAAATATACTTATATTACCAAAAGTAAAAGCACTCATTATGCAGATTGGCCCATTTTAGTATAATATATTATATGTTTTGATTATAATAATTGCTGCATTTAAGTGTTATCAAAGCTGGTAAAGGTGCAGCTAGTTTAATGACTTTGTATACTGCAGGGTAGCTTTTGGATTTACTCCAGGTGTAACTAAAGTCTGATTTTAAGTGTTGATTGTATTTCACATCATTAATCCACATCTGTAAAGTAACTAAAGGTATTATATAAAGGAAGTGGAGTAAAAGTAAATGATTTACCTCTTAATTGTAGTGGAGTAGAGGTACAAAGTAAGTACGTAAAGTACAAAGTATCTCAAAATTGTTCTTACAGTACAGTACTTGAAATCTACTTTGTTACTTCCCACCTCTCATTTGTCTACATTACTATAGTGTGAGTAGATTCTGTGAAGGTGTATATCAACACTAGAGGGAACACCCAGTTAGGTTTGATTAGAAATCTTTTGTAATATCTTACACACAAACAGAGGGTGCAGCAGGTTTTCATAAGTGATTGATTATTCTTTGCAAACATAAACCTCCATGGAGTTAGACTGATTCAATTATTCAGGGTTCTTACAGTCATTAAAAACCTGGAAAAGTCATGGAAATTCAAAATGCGAATTCCAGACCCTGGAAAAGTTATGGAAAACAATATTTTTCCCAAAGTTTTGGAAAAGTCATGGAAATTTAACAAAAATTGCATCAAATATAATTTATATTTTATCTAATCGCCAAAATAGTAATACTATAATGATAATACATACTGTATCGTATAGTAATGAAACGTAAAATGGCATTTAACTGTCGAGGTGTTTTGCTGGTGAGAGATTTGAGTTGCTTTAGCCTGTAGAAGCTAGTAAGCCTACTATTTGATTTGTTTTAGATAGGCACTACATGTTTCATATGCAGACCTTATTTTCCTGTTCCATGTGGTACCGCTGAGAAAGAGTAATTTTGTTGGTCATGGAAAATTAGGTAAAGGTCATGGAGAAGTCATGGAAAAGTCATTGAAAATCATTGGTGAAAAAGTGTATGAACCCTGATTATTGTAACAATTCCTAGCAGTCAGGTGCACATCAGGTGAACTTTGTTTTGCTTTATAAATGATTATTCAGACGAAGGATTATTCCTTTTCTGGTAATTAATGAATTGATCAATGTATAGTTTCCGTACTACTTAATGATGTCAGGACTTATGTCTTGAATGTTGTTGTATTGTTGTATTATTGTTGTATTGTTTTAAGTGTCGGACCCCAGGAAGAGTAGCTTTTGTCAAGAGCAAAAGCTAATGGGGATCCTAAATAAACATTGCTTTTGTTGGACTCCAAATTCCCAAGACTGCTCTGTGTGGTTAATTTCTCAAAGCCTTCTTTTGCTTTAATTCCCTTTTTTCTGTGTTTCTGTTTTAGAAAAGAACACTGAAGAAAAAAAAACTGCATCTCCTCCTTCCCCTCGGCATAATGAGTCACCTTCTCTGGATCAGAGTCATGTTGGAGCTGAAGATGCAGACCAGCACAGAGAGCTTGCAGAGGAAGAAACCCCACAGGTCCACAACTCAGACTCTGAGAAAGAAGATCCAGACACAGCTGGTGTGTTGGACACCCCGACTGAGGAGACGCCGTCTGACCTGGAATCCTCTATCGTTCCTGAGCAGCCAGGTCTGGAAACTCCAACGTTTGAGCTTAATTCAGATATTGAAACGAAGGATGATTCATTTTCTGTTCATCAATTCATTAATCAATGTATTGTTTTCATACTACTGGTTACTAACACATTGCTTTTGTTTGACTACCAACTCCCAAGACTGCCCTGTATGGTTTAATCTCTGAATGCATTCCATTTTTTTTTCCTGTGTTTCTGGTTTAGAAAAGAACACTGACCAGCATGAGAAAACTGCATCTCCTCCTTCCCCTACACATAGTGGGTCAGCTTCTTCTCTGGATCAAAGTCATGTTGAAGATGAAGATGCAGACCAGCACAGAGAGCTTCCAGATGATAAAAGTGACCCCTCAGACTCCGAGAAGGCAGATCCAGAGTCAGCTGATGTGTCGGACGTCCCGAGTGAGGAGAGCCGGTCTGACCTGGAATCCTCCGTTACTGAACACACAGGTTTGGAAACTACAACATTTAAGCTTGACTCAGATAATCACAGAGGAAAACAAACACTGAGATGAAGAATAAGGACACAAAACTGAAAGTGAAACGCAAATATAAGATTGCAGTCTTTATTTGATTATTTTCTTTTTTTGTTCACAGATCATATTATCGATAATCAAGAAGATGATAGTCCAAAAAAAGGTTCCTGTAACACAAATGTATTAATGATATCTTAAACATAGTATAAAGAATACTATATGTTGATGTGTGTGCTGTTCGCTGTTTACAGGGATAGTCCAAGAGCGCAGACAAATATTTGAAACAAGCGATTCTGGACAGATCTATGGATCACAGAGGGGTATTAAAGGTGGGGTAGGTAAGTTTGAGAAACCGGCTCGAGATCGCTAGAATTTGAAAATACACAACCGGAGAAAATCTGCCACTTCCTTACAGAGCGCCTCCTCCAACACACACGAACGCGCACATGACCAATGAGGGCACGAGATAAGTTTGCAAAGGTGCAGCTAGTTTAATGACTTTGTATACTGCAGGGTAGCTTTTGGATTTACTCCAGGTGGAACTAAAGTCTGATTTAAGTGTTGATTGTATTTCACATCATTAATCCACATCTGTAAAGTAACTAAAGGTATTATATAAAGGAAGTGGAATAAAAGTAAATGATTTACCTCTTAATTGTAGTGGAGTAGAGGTACAAAGTAAGTACGTAAAGTACAAGTATCTCAAAATTGTTCTTAAAGGTGGGGTAGGTCATTTTGGAGAAACCAGCTCGAGATCGCTAGAATTTGAAAATACACAGCCGGAAAAAATCTGCCACTTCCTTACAGAGCCCCTCCTCCAACACACACGAACGCGCACATGACCAATGAGGGCACGAGATAAGTTTGTACACAGATGGAAGGCTGACAGGCAGGTAGGCCATCCAGTTATTTTAGCCGGGCCGGCTAAAATGATTGGTCGTGCTTTTTACAGTATTATGGCTTCCACAGATGACATTTTTTGTATGGATTTTTTGTCAAAGCACTTAAGATATTCATTGCTATCGGGATGTTAAGAGCATTCCATGGAATATAACAAAAAGTGTATCTCGAGCCGGTTTCTCAAACTTACCTACCCCACCTTTAAGTTGACCTTATTGTTAGCTGACAGCGGCAACTATTGCTTATGTTCATTTGTAGCTTATACATTTTGTGTTTCATCAATCAACCATATTACTTATATGTCAAAAAAAAAGTGAAATGTTCCTAAAAACCCAAAGTAAAAAATAAACGTTCAAATATTGAAGATGACTTTTTGAGCGATTATTAAAATGAAAGATGATTCATGTTTCCATACTACTTTTTACCCTATTGTCTTTTGTTTGTTTCACATTTCAAAAGACTGCTCCGTGTGCATTCATCTCTGAAACATTTCTGTTTTCTGTGTTTCTGGTTTAGGAAATACCACTGACGAGCATGAGAAAACTATGGCTCCTCCTTTCCCTCCAAATAATGTTGGAGCTGAAGATGCAGACCAGCACGGAGAGCTTGCAGAGGACGAAACCCCACAGGTCCACAACTCAGACTCTGAGAAAGAAGATCCAGGCACAGCTGTTGTGACGGACGTCCCGAGTGAGGAGACGCCGTCTGACCTGGAATCCTCCGTTCCTGAACACGCAGGTTTGGACACTACAACGTTTGAGCTTGATTCAGATAATCACAGAGGAAAACAAACACTGAGATCAAGAATAAGGACACACAACTGAACAGTGAAAAGGCAAATATAAAATACTTCATTAGGGACATCTAATGGACGGGTACAACTCTTCAAAGCAGTAGTGTGACTAACCTTTGTTAAGGTGTATACAGGGTGTATCCCAAAGTTTTGGAAATGTAACTAAAGTTGCATCAAATATAATTTATATTTTATCTAATCGCCGAAATAGTAATACTATAACGATAATAAATACTGTATGGTATAGTAATGAAACGTAAAATGGCATTTAACTGACGAGGTATTTTGCTGGTGAGAGAGTTTAGTTGCTTTAGCCTGTAGAAGCTAGTAAGCCTACTATTGGATTTGTTTTAGATAGGCACAACATGTTTCATATGCAGACCTTATTTTCCTGTTCCATGTTAAAATAAACCATTTTCAGTGGTACCGCTGAGAAAGAGAATTTCTTTGGTCATGGAAAATTAGGTAAAGGTCATGGAGAAGTCATTGAAAATCATTGGTGAAAAAGTGTATGAACCCTGTGTATAGCAGAACTGGATGAAACACCCAGGTTAGGTTAGACATCCTTTAGAATATCTGAAACACCAACAGAGGATGCAGCAGCTGTTTCGTTCATTGATTGAGTATTTTTGCAAAGATCTTGGCAGATAAACATTTGTTGATGTTCTAGTTGATAGAAGAAAGATGGACGTTGACCAATGATGGCGTTTTAAAAAGTCCAAAGCTCATAATTTGGACATGAATACTATAGAACAAGTTCAAAGCTGGAGGAGGAATTATATTGGATTTACTTTATTGCTATTTTGTATTATTAAATCACCATGAAGTAAGACTGATTTAATTCTTGTGAAATGCTGAGGTCAGGTGCACTCATTATGCTTTTTTCTTTTACTGTGTGTTTTTGTTAGAGCCAGAGAAGAAAGAGGATAAGGCTGAGGAAAAGCAGTCTGCTCCTGCCAGCGCTGAGGCTTTCTCTCCTGCTCAGCCACCTGAGGACAGTACTTTTGAACACAAAGAAGACGCCAACTCTCAGGTCACTAAAGAAACTAAAGAGAAGAATGTCAGAGAGTCTGACTCATCGGGTGAGGAGGAAAGAAATGAATCGGACGACTCTACCGAAGACGAACATTCGCCCACCCTTCCTGAACACAAAGGGTTAGAAACAACACTACATGAGCAAGATGTTAAAGCCTCAGAAGAAGAAACACACACAAGCCAAGATAACAAGCAAGAGGTCAGTGAAACAGTCCAACCGGTTTCCGAAGATGGAAATACAACAGAAAGTGTAGGCGACTGTAAAGAAACAGATAAGGAACCAGATCTGTATTTAGCCACCTCCCAGCAATCTCAGAGCCCCACACCTAGCAATACCTTTCAAGAGACTCCAGACACTGCAGGAGCAGAGCCAGATCAAGCAGAAGAGGAACTCGAAGGCCATGATAAGTCTAAGGTGCAGTCAGATAAAGATAAGGGTGAAGTTGTTGAAGATAAACATGAGGTGGAGTGTGGTCTTAAAGAGGAAAAGCCAGGCCATGAAAGCCTTAGTGAGGATGAAGAAGAACAAAAGAAAGATACAGTTGTTGCTTAGGCCTTCAGGCAACTTGGCAAATATGAAAGGTAGAATTCAAGATGGAAGTTGATAATAAAAGTGCAGGTGTAAACACAACACATCAGCAGGAAATGAGATCAATTCAACGATTTAAAGGACTATTTAGGAATTTATAGACAGTCAAAATGTAGAGAAATACCTGCTGTGGTATTGTAGAAAGACATTGAAAAGATGGACATACAGTACAGCAGGAAAAGAAGCAGACAATTAGCAAGGAGGGAAAAAGTGGTTAATTCAAAAGTTATTCAAAATATCAAAATGAAATCAGTAATACTATCTTTCTACCTCCGTAACATGCAGTGAACAACAGAGATAGCCATCTCTCAGAGAGCTGGCATGCTCCTGAATTACTTTATATTATTTACATGTTTACTTGGCAGTGTGCAGGAGGTGACGGGGCAGAGCACCAGGGTGTACAACCAACACATTTGTTGCTTCCTTTTTAAGATAACCCTACTTCTCTTATTGTTAACTATAAAGTTATTTTAAATATTATTCAACAAGTGTTAGATTAACAGCTGCATTGGTTTTTCAATTGTTTTAATTGTTTGTCTTTTTAAACGATATAACTTATCCACTAATAACTCTACATAATATGTTTAATGTTTGAATCAAGGTATTATACATAAGAATGTATAACTCTAATCAACTTAACAGCATTAATCTTGTAAATGTTATATTGTGACCTTGGAAACATTTCTAGTTGGTTGTGCAGAGACTGTGACGTGCTCACACAATAGATATTTGCCATTTTAAAAATCTTAAAGCTTTAATGAAGGTGTTGTAGGGGAGTAAAATCATCAAACACAATAAATAATTTGTCTGGATTTATAAAGGACAATATGTGTTTACGATACTGTAAGCATATAACAATAGAAAATACATATTTGACCTTTCCTCCAAGTATTGATAACGTTTCATGTTTTAATTTATTTGTATTGAGACCAGCTTATCACTTCTAATATTTGAAGTGTTTCGGAGCTTAGGGTATATCTCACATTATTAACTTTTAATGATTTATATGATATTTCCATGCATGACACTGTTAGATTTTTTTACTATGTGTTTTTTACCTTTCTAACGCTTGAGTTTTTGCTGATGATATTGTTTTAGAAATGTTTCACTGTCCTGGTTAGTAAAGGCATTTTCATTTTTAAATAAAAGCTCAGATTCTGCAGTTTTGTTGTCATGATAGTACCAGAATATGTATTGATGGTTACAGGATTTGCTCGAGAGATTCGTTTAAAAAATAAGAAATGGAGCCAGAAAGCTCCAGGGATTTATTTACAGGAGAAGCAATGTATCATGGAGGAAATTATTGATGAATTGATGAAATAAGAGAAAAATAAGGTGATAAACTGATGGTGTGTTTGACAGCTTAGCACAGCAAATCTATAACAAAAAACACTGACACTGCATTACCTGATACTGGTAAATAACAGTCAATATGTGTGTGTGCCAGTAGGGGGCAGTGTTTATCAACTCTACACATAAACTGAATATAGGAAATTATGTTTTTTTGTATTGTTCTAAACACTGAGAGAGGTGAAGGACATCCTCATCTATAGAGGCAACACACCTTTGACAATTGTGATGCAGTTTTACAGGAAACAGAACATTTCTCTAAAGCATACGTGCACTTTGAGTTCATGGGGATGAGGAGTTGTATAACTGCAGTGTGTAGGAGTTTGCGCCACTGTATTTATAAAGTGTTGAACTGAGTGGAAAGCTGCCACAGTCAAATCAACTAAAGCAGCTAGTGATGAAAAAGCAGGTTCACTCTCTGCATGGACGACAAGCTGGTGTAGATTTTCTTAAGGTAGTGGCTTGGCCATGTGAGAAAGTCATGCATGATTAGTTTAACCTCTGAGCCACAGAGACGTCTGTGATCTGCTACCACCTGACCTGTGGGTTCAGGGCACAAGAAGAAAATGAACACTATCCTATTTCTGTGGTCACAACGAATACTGAGGGGATATTAGAGTATTGAATTATTTGTGGGGATCGGGGCTATGCCTCCTCCTCCGAGGGTCACAATGTGGTTCCACTGAGACATCGCTGATGTGTTGAAGGCAGCAGGGAAGCTCACATACTGGCGCAGAGTCTTCAAGTCATTTCACTATGCCAACATTTTTAATATAAGCATATTTTCTGTGGAACAATTGTTACCCCAAGGCTTTTTCCCCTGAAAAAAAAAAAAAAGTGACAATGTCATGCCAGCCTAACCTACCATGGAATGCCTTTTTAAATAAAAGTACTTGTTTCCTTTTCCACATCGTATAGTTATAATACACTGGGCCGTAATATTCTTTCAGGCACAGGCCCTGCTTTTCCCCTTAGGTTGTTTAGGTCTTTTCTGGCCCTGTTGCAATAGGAGAGAAAGAGAAAAAGAGGTGCCTTTTATACCAGGTTGATTAGCATGCTGGGTTGTTTAAATTGCCTCCTGGAGGGCTGACGTGAAATCGAACAATATCCTCTGGCTTTAGAGAGTTGGCCCGATAGCTTCTCATTTATTTTTATGCAGAGCTAGGAGAGACCTTGGCAATACTCCGCTAAGGAAGCTGAGCCCGGGGAGGCCATGGTCTGGGTAGGTCAGGACAAATAAATTAATATCAGCTCAATAAAAGTTCTTGGCTCTTTCTGGGCCATTCTTTACTGTGACAGTACAACCTGGGAACCAACCATAATTATGTGGATAAGTGTTGTTGAGGCTTTATAATGAAATACAACCCTTTTCAATCTCTATAAAATACCTATTTTATTGTCTGATTTGTCTTTGGGCCCTGTTTTTCTGAGAAGTGATAGTAAAATATGATTGTCATTGTTATTATTAGCGTATATTAAACTAAATCTCCCTCTGAGGTGATGATGTTTATGACTTTTTATCTGGGCCCAACCCAACCTTTATGCTGCCCGAGGTAGAGTGATTATTATACCCATGGTGGCAACCAAAACAGTGGAAACACTTATTAATATACCACTTATATACCCATGAATGCCACCAATGGGACACATAAAATAGGTGTAGTGTAGAACAGTTGTTTGACTCTCCTCTCTGAACCAAAAAGGATCTCAATAGAAATTATTCAAATATCTACAAATAGACCTCAGCTCCAAACAGAGGCCTTGTGCGGGAGAACATCTGATCAGGTCATTGTTGAGATGTATAAAGTGATAATGTTATTATTACTTCACTCATTTAATTGAAGGATGTTATACTGTTATGGCTGTGTCTGAACAACAAAGGCTCTATTAAACACATCACTGTTGCTGCGTTCATATCTGGTAACCACAATATAAGCACTGGTTATTAGACCTCAAGGATGAGTGGAGGTGTGAACAGCGGCAGACATGTTGGCCTCCTGGTGGGTTCCTTAACATCGGGACAGCTTAAAGCTAATTACAAAGTCTCAGACATGTCTTTGGGGCAACATATTTCTGCCTGCATGCTTTCTTTGTCACACGATGTCTTGGCAATTCCATCTGAGACATCATCAATTGTTACTTCAATAAGTAAATATTTTTCATCTGTATGGCCAGGAAAAATCTTGGAGAATTTGAATGTGGTTTATTTTGGGCTTTGTGGTGGGGACACAGACCTGGCTTATTTTTGTATTTTATCTGAACACTATGGGCACACGGGTAAGCATGGACCAGAGCCAAAATAATGTTTAAGAGAATGTAAAACAAATGCCTCTTTTGTCGAGCATTATAAACAATTATAAACAGGAAGGTGACCCAGTCGGTTCAAATTGAACAATTAACCAGGAGGAAGGAAATATTGAAAAGCAATTATTTGTACACATTGTAAAACATGTTGACTTTTTAATGATCAACCCACTGTAATAAAGCTATTTAATATGTCCTTGCTTGTTGTTGGTACTTCTCCATTTTAGAGGACCTAAATTGCCCTTCTGTTTTTCCAGTTTTTCCCAGGGGGCATCCTTCATTTAAGATACAGAACAACAAAGTTATCTCTCTTTCCCATTAGACAATATCAGTTTGACTGCTGCAGTATAATAAAGTATATGTGTTTTTAGGGATGTCCTAGCCAGTCGATTGGCGAACCTCTTTGCTATAGACTGAAAAATCTTAACAACTAGAGGAGGACTTTTGTGATCCCCTCACTTTCCCCCTAGTGTCAACAACATGTTGTAGTCTTTATACAGTACAGTCTATGGTTGGACCTAGACCGTTTTTGATGACAGAAAGGGTTAAAGATTGTCATTACATTTGGTTCAGCTGTGGTTACTCACCATAAAAAAAAGAATCATATTACCATCAGTCTCAGCTGCATTTTAAACACAACGGAAACATTACACATTCTAAGCAACAGCTTGTTTGCAGTGTCATTGTTAGCATGTTAGCATGCTGACATTAGCATTTAGCTCAAAGCACTTAATTGCCTACAACTATCACAAAGCTGCTAGCATAGCTGTAGTGTAGACTCTCTGTGATGGTCTGCTATTTATCAGAATATTTGCCATTTCAAATTCATCGGAGCCTTGCAGAGCATGTAGTCTTTTGAGACAGATTCAATAGATGGATGACACAGTATTTAGATTTACGAACAGTATTCTCTAGCAATGAGCCCCACTCATCATCTGGTTCCACACTCTTTTGTCTAAAAACAACCGGCACCATATGAAGCCATTTGTCAAATATAACTTCAACACAAGTAATGGAAAGCCTTTGACTATACAAAGCTGTCACAAAACAACTTTAGTTTCTCATTTAAAGTACTCTGTAACCATTTGTAAATCATTTGAAGTGTAAAAAGAATGCACTGCATTTTAAAACATTTGCAAAAATATTCTTTCAGCACCATGGACCGACAGTTTCCGAGAACCAACAGAGGGAAGCGCTCTGTTTTTGTTTTCTGTTGTCATGTGCATGTGTTTCTGTAAATACTTTCCTCAACAGTCGAGCCGTTTATTTCAGAGCTTTGTCAGTTCTTTATTTGAACAAGCTGCCTGTCAACGTGCCACACTGACGCATCTGCACTTGTGCACTTGCAGAACCTGACACAATTCTCTTGTGGCACAAAATGGAAAACGCTTGCAGCATACCGCCTGTTTTGTAGTGTCTGTCTATGGGAAGATTAAAGCCAATACAAACAAAATGTACTCTCTACAACTCTGAATCGGTGGAGGTTGAGACCACCAGAGGGGAATTGCTAGCTCCACTATGTCATCGATCATATCACATTATCATTGATCTCAGTCTCCCACTCTCCTCCCCTGTCTGTCTTTGCCCTCCTGAGTCTTTCAGTGAAATTTCTCATGGCTCACTGTTGCTTCTTATCTCTTGCGTGTGATAGGTAATCACAATGACATCACCAGAATAACATGCTGCATTTGGGTGCACAGAGATTACTTTTTTAACAGTTTTGGTCCTGGGCTTTTAATGTGAAAAGCTTTTTTTTTTACCATTTTCTTAGCAACATCTGTCAATATAAGGAGGGAATGTTGTGGCTATCTATTGTCTTGTGTTTTGTCTTCACATTAAAAAGTAAAGCCTTCTACCAAAATCATATACCCTCCTGTAGAGTATTCATTGACAGCAAGCAGAACTGTTAACAGCAATTACTAAATAAGTTAAATTATTAGATCAATTCAAACACATCATTGAAGCTTTGAGTTTATAACTTCACTTTCGAGAAAAGGCAATATTTCTACAGAGCAGCAGATAGAAACTAAGGGTTTGGCATGGAGGTCACCCACATTTAAACTGTGCCTAGGTTAATTGGTTTATAAGAGTCCTCAATAATACTCATTGAACAATTACGATCTGACCCAGAAGCCAAAAGTTCAATTTTAAATTGCTAATATGCTAAGGGTTATAATCAAAGACATATTCAGTCAAAACGAATAACGAAATGAAAGTAATTTCAGTCTTGAAAAATATTGAAAATAGCAAATGAATAATTGCGTTAAATGTGTTTCTTTTAGTAAGACAGATCCAGAATTGTGCGGAGGATTGTGGCTATTTAACATTCTTATGAAAATGAGCTGTTACCAAAACAAGATGTATAACACTCTGCCTGCCTCTCTTGTGGTCCATGCGGAGTCTGAATATGTCCAAATGCTCTCCATATGTCTGGCAACTCCACTGACCCCTCTTACTTAAACATTGCCAGGGTGAATGTGTCCCACGTTCGGCTAATGTACGTAAATA